TAGAATTCTGTAATGACAAGAATACCCATTCATATATCCCTTTTAAACAGTTCTCTGCCTCATCTGTTTCAATGCAATATACATCATTCCTCCCCTCCTTTTTTGTCTTCCCTCAATACTGATGTCAGTCCCATTTTACAACAGTGGCCTTATGCAATATTTGTCTTCTTGTGACTGAGATATTTCATTCCAAGGTCATCCATTTTGCATAATATTTCATTAATTCCTTGCTTCTCAATGCTGCATAGTATTCCATTGTGTGAATATACCAGAACTTCTCTAGCCATTTGTTTGCTGATGGGCACTTGTGTTGTTTCCAGCTCTTTGGTATTGCAAACAAAGCTGCAATAAACATGAGTGTGCATATATTCGCTTGGGTAGCAATTATGCTTTCTTTAGGGTAAATTCCCAGTAGTGGAATTGCTGGGTCAAATGGTATTTCTATTTCCAACTTTTTGAGAAAGCTTTTTGAGAAAGCGGCTGCACCATAGCTGTTGCACCATTTTACACTCCCACCAACAGTGAATAAAGGTTCCAGTTTCTCCACAACCTCACCAACATTTGTTGTTTGCTGTTCTGTTCAATTTTGCTATTCTTACTGGGGTGAGATGATATCTCATAGGTGTTTTGATTTTGCATCTCTCTTAGAGCTAGGTATTTTGAACATTTCTTCATGTGTTTGTTTGCCGTCTGAATATCTTCTTTGGTAAAGTGTCTGTTCATATCCCCTGTCCATTTTTCAATTGTGTTATTTACTTTTATCATGTTGTAGTGCTTGAGTATTTTTTAAATTCTAGATATAAGTCCCTTGTCTGACATGTCATTACCAAATATTTTTTTTCCCAGTCTGTGGCTTACCCTGTTGGAAAAGCTTTTGGATGTGGCCAACTTCATTTAATGTCTGACACTTTAGGGCCTGTGCTCTTTCATTTTGCTTTCTCTTTGGTGAATGCATGTTGTCCTCCAATCTAAAGAGGAGCTGGCCACTGAACACCTAGCAGAGCAATCCTAATGGGGAGCAAGTGGAAGGGATCAAGATTCAAGATAGTTTTGGCATCTTTAATGTTAGGTACTATGGTTAATTTTTAGTTTCATGATATTTGGGTCCCATTTTTATTTCTAGAGCATTTTATTGATATTGTCCTTTAATTATGATTGATAATCCCCAAGAGAGGATTAAGATTATTAGGTTTCACCAGGATCATTTAAAAAAAATGCATTCAAGGAAGTTAAAACAGTAAATAGTTTATTTTAAAAAAATCATTACCCAAAACCTTGACTTTCTTGTTTTTGTTTCAGTCAGAGGTATTATTTTGTGTAGTCTCTTGTAGGGACTATTTGGACAGAGGAGAACAGTCCCATAGGGTTTCTAAGACTATAAATCTTAATGGGGCAGATTGCCTCATTTTTCTCCCTTTGATTAGTTAGTGGTTTCCAATTCTTGATCTTTTGGATAGCAACTCAAGGTCTAATCAATGAATCTCCAGGGCTCTTTGACCAAAGACTAAGTTATTGCTGTATGAAAAAGATTTTCTTCAAATAAATTATTTTTTAAAGGCACATTCAGATGTTATAGATCTTAAATGCATTTATTATTATACCAACAATTTATAAACATTTTTGAGAATTCCATTTATCCATATTCAATTTTATGATGAAAGTAAAGAAAGAAGTAATTCAAGCTAGAGGCCTGTTCTTTGGAGATAATTCAGGAATATGTTTTCTAAGACGAGATGCACATGATAGGATCAGATGTGAAGTGGAAATTAAGCACTACTTTGTAAAAACAGCTAAATGATAGAAAACAGCAGTTCTCCCTGTGGATTCTCGGTTCCAAGCTTTACCTGAGAACTCATTAGAGATGCATATTTTTGTACGTGCTCAACAGACCTTGTTAGTTACCATCAGATAGGCCTTGATTTCTGAGGACAAAATAAATGCATGAAGGATAAAACGCTGTCTGGCCCTTTTGTTTGATCTTAGGGTTCCCAGTGACTGGGTGGTTTTTTTTGTTTTTGTTTTTTTTTTTTTTTTTTTTTTTTTTTGTGTGTGTGTGTGCGTATTTTAAGAAGTACTTATTTTTAAAAGTTTTTAGTTGTTATTTTTAGTGAAAGTTTACAAAAGATTACTTTTTATTCATAGATTTTTCTCCCTTCAAAGCTAGTACTGTTCCAGATTGTTAACTGTGATATGTATAATGTCTAATCGTCTATTTCTATCAGATTGCCATTGCCTTCAGCTATTCCAATGCAGTGTTCATTATCTCTCTAGTCTTTTCCTACTTTCCCCGGCCAGTATCTGTCCTTTCATTGTAAAAGTGGTCTTAGGCAGTATTTGTTCTTTTGTGACTGAGCTATTTTATCCATTATAATGTCTTCCAGAATGATCCATATTGTGTAGTTCTTTAGGAGTTGTTTTTCAATGCTGTGTGATATTCCATTGTGTGTATGGATGGACATTTATGTTGATTCTATCTCTTGGCTAATTTAAATAATGCCACAATGGACATGGATATGCATACATCTATTTGTGTCACAGTTCTAGTTTCTTTAGAATATATTCCCAGTAGTGAGATAACAAGATCAAGTGGTATTTCTATTTTCAACTCTTTGGGGAAGGGCCAAACTACCTTCCATAGGGGTTATACCATTTTACAATCCCATTAGGAGTGTAGGAGAGTGCCAGTCTCTCTTCATCATCTCAGGCATTTGTTGTTTGCTATCTTGTGTGGAGTGAGATCCTATTTCACTGTTGTTTTGATTTGCATCTTTCTAATAGCCAGTGGCAGCATCTGTTAGCTGAAATATGTCAATTGGTATACCATCTATTCCGGGGGCCTTATTTTTTGCTATTTCCTTCAAAGCAGCTTGAACTTCTGCCTTCATCACCATAGGCTCTGGCTCAAATGCTATTTCATTAAATTCTTCTATATCTGCCAATTCCTTTCGGTACAATGACTGGTATATTCCTTCCATCTTCTTTTGATACCTCCTGGATCATTTAACATTCTGCCTCCTTGATTGTAGCAAGTCGAGGTTTGAATTTGCTCTTCAGTTCCGTGAGCTTAAGAAATGCTGAATGAGTTCGGCCCTTTTGATTTTCCAACTCTAGCTCCTCGCACATTTCATTGTAGTATTTTGCTTCATCATTCCGTGCTGCCTTTTAGAATCTTCTGTTCAGCTCTTTAGTGCCTTGGATTCTTCGTCGTGCTTTGGCTTCTCTACGTTCCAGTGCAATCTTCAGAGTTTCTTCTGACATCCATTTTGGTCTTTTCTTCCTCTTCTGTCTTTGTAATGACCGCCTGCACTCTTCCTGGATGATACATTTAACATCCTCCCACAACTCATCTGGTCTTCGCTCATTAGTGTTCAAGGCCTCAAACCTGTTCCTGAGATGATTCTGAAATTCAGGTGGTATGAAATTAAAGTCATATTTTGGCTCCTGTGGATTCGGTTTAATTTTCCTCAGCTTCAGCTTGAACTTGCATATGAGTAATTGGTGGTCTGTTCCACAATCAGCTCCTGGCCTAGTTTTCACAGCTGATATTGAGCTTCTCCAGTGTTTTTTTTCTACAGATGTAATCGATCTGATTCCTATGCATACCATCAGGTGAAATCCATGTGTATAATCTACGTTTATGTCTCTTAAAAAACGTATTTGCAATGAATAAGTCATTGTGCAAAATTCAATCATTCTAGCTCCAGCTTCATTTCTGTCACCAAGTCCATGTTTTCCAACTACTGATTCTTCTTCCCTGTTCCCAACTTTTGCGTTCCAGTCGCCCATTATTATCAATGGGTCTTGACTGCATGTTCGATCCATCTCTGCCTGTAAGAGTTGGTAGAAATCATCTATTTCTTCTTCTTAACATCAGGATGGATGGCGAAGAAATTGAGATTGTTCAGTTTCAGTTTGCTCAGCTCCACGGTCAACACTCTTGGCACCAGTAGCCAGGAAATAAAAAACGTATTGCGATGGGAAAGTCTGCGGTTAGGGACCTCTCCAAAATACTCAAGAGCAACAGTGTCTCTCTGGAGACTAAGGTCCGCCTGATACAGGCCATGGCTTTTGCAATCACTTGTTATGCATCAGAGAGTTGGACAATGACTAGGGAGGATAGAAGGAGAATTGACGCCTTTGAGCTGTGGTGCTCGAGAAGAGTATTGAATGTACCATGGACTGCCAAGAAAACAGATTCATCCTAGAGAGGGTTAAACCAGGCTGCTCCTTGGAGGCAAGGATTCTGGGGCTTCGTCTGACATACTTTGGACATGTTGTAAGGAGAGACAGGTCTTTAGAGAGGGACATCATGCTGGGTAGAGTAGAGGGACAGCGCAGGAGGAGAAGGCCCTCTATGAGGTGGATTGATTCAGTGACTGGGGTACTCGGGATGGGTGTGTCAGAGGCAATGAGATTGGCACAGGATAGAGCATGGTTTAGGGCTGTTGTACATGGCGTCGCTATGAGTCACAAATGACTCGATGGCACATAACAACAACAACAATAGCCAGTGATTTTGTCCACTTTTCCATGTGTTTATCTACCACCTGAATTTCTCCTTTGGTGAAATGTCTGTTCATAGCGTCTATACATTTTGTGGCTGGATTGTTTGTCTTTTTCTTTTTGACATGCAATTCTATTAATTTTGATGAGCTGCTGATCAGATATGTTATTGCCAAGGTCATTGGAGGACCTTCTTTCCTGGTTAGTTTTAGTCTGGAAATTCCACCAAAGCCTGCTTAGCATCATAACAGCACTCAAGTTCTACTGACAGAAGAGTGGTGACTCTACATGATGTGTACTAGCTAGGAATCTTCAACCCTGGGCTTCCCAATAGAAGTGAAGAATTTTATTACTGAGCTTACAATTGCTCCTAAACTCAGACCCACAGAATCAGAGTATCTGAGTGTAGAGTCATCTATTTAAATAATCTCTCCTTGACATTTTGATATACTTATATGTTCAAGACCTAGACAGATTAAAATACATTGGGCACTTACCACTTGCTGTGTAGACTGTGAATTTAATAGTTGCAATGACTTCATTGTTTTCCGAGGTAGTACACTCTAGAGCTAAGGGGTGGTCCTCTCTGTGTATCTCCAGGATGGCAGAATCATTTCGAAGGATAACAGATTGCTGTTTGAAAGGAATAAAATAATAGCAACACAGCAACACTCCTTGTATACAAATAAGATTATTAAATGTCTTTCTCTTAACAAGATATCTTTCTCTCTTTGTATAGGATAGTAACAAATCATCTACATAGATTTTTTTCAATCAATAATTTATTCATTGCTCATACCTTTTTACAGAAAACCAGAATAACATAAATGACAATTATATACATGGATCTTACCTAAAGGAATATACAAGTAACAAATTGGTTTTATCTATAGAAAGAGACAATACAGAACTCATTATCAGCAGTCTAAACCAGCATTGAGGCTGATTGTGGAACAGAACATTAAATAATTAACTCATATGCAATTTAAATTGCATATATATATAGCGACTATTCTTCTTTTTTCAATGCAGTAAACAATTTATCCAGTTTTTCTCACTCTTACCCCCACCCCAATGTCAGCCTCATTCTATAACAGTGGCACCATATAATATTCATCTCTTTGTGACTGAGATTTTTTTACTCAGCATAATGTCTTCCAGGGTCACCTATTTTGAATAATATTGCATGAGTTCCTTGTTTTTCAAAGCAGCATAGTATTCCATTTTGTGAATATGCCAAAGCTTCTCTATCCATTTGTTTGTTGATGGGTCAACTCCTACATGAATTTTTAAAGTCAGAAAAATCAGATTTCAATTTCCAATCTTCCTGCTTCCTGTTTCCCTTGTATATATCACTCTGTACTTCAGTTATTTATCTGTAAAATGGTATAATAGGAACTATTTCATAGGCTTATTATGTGGATTAAAATAAATTATAATTCTTGATGTATGCCTAGCAGTAAAGAAGCTCTCATTAATGTTAACTACAGTAGGGAGCTCTGGTGGCCTAGTGGCAAGAAGCTGCATTGCAATCCCAAAGGCATGTAGTTCAAGGCCAAAAAAGAAGGATAGGCAATCCCCTCCCATGTAATTGGTTAACTGCCTCTGAAATGTTTCCAGAGAGTCAGTTATGAGTCAGTTCTGACTCTATAGTACACAACTATTATCAATATGTAGGTATATGCAATTTCTACTTGTCTACAAAAAGAATACTTATATACAATAGATGTTTCATATGTTCTTATTACCCTTGACCTTTAGATATATACAAAGTCTTCATTCCAATAAATGATGGAAATATTAAAATCCCACTGATAATAATGTTGCATGATTTTGATGTTATTTTTGCAAACTGCTTTTAAGGAGAAAGTTATCTGGGCATAATCAAAAGAACTGTTGTTGCTGTTGTTGTTGTTAAGTGCTGCCAAGTTGTAAATTACTCTTGGCGACCCTATGGAGGAAAAACCTGAACATTTGTATAACTTTCATTGTTTCTCCATGTTCATAGAGTTTCTGGAGAGAAAGTAAATTTTATGACTCACTCAAAAAGACCAGTTTTTACACATTCATTACTCACTTGATCTGGCCTTAGAAGTTTCCACATATACTTGAAACGATTTATAGGAGATACATGAACACATGCCAGCCTAACACTATCCAGACTTTCTGAGAGTGGTTTACCCCCTGAAACAGAAAAAAAAAATAAATACATACAATACACTAGGCATTATACATTGCTTTATAGAAGATACTACTTTTTAAAGCCACATTTCCTAAAGATTAATTTATACTTAATCAATTAATCATGACTATTCAGTCAAACCTAATCATAGCTGACCTTGCAGTGGCTTTTCTGAGGCTGTAACTAGATTGTCCATCTTTCTCCTGTAAAACAATTGGTGGATTTGAATTGCCTGCTTTTGGGTTGGCAGGACAGCTCTTTACCTACTAAACTATCAGTTGTTGCTGTTGTTACTATGTAACATCAAGTAAGTACCATCATAGCTAACCCCCCAGTTTTCTGAGACAGTCAATGACACAGGAGGAGATTTCCTATCTTTCCTCCCACAGAGCAGCTGGTGAATTCCAGCCAATGTGCCTCTAGATAGGCAGTGCAACTCCTTACCACTAAACTACTAGAGCTCCCTAGAGTTACCTCAGTTATATACTGGACATTGTTAACCTGATTATCAGAAATAGAGAGGATTGGAGGGAAAGGTAAAGATTCAAAGGTAAAGTTACAAACCAAGCACGCACTGACCATGGCCGCCTGATCTCCTGATGACACCTGCTAATAGAGTCAAGTGTGGGGCTACTAAGACCAAGACTGTCTCCATCAGTTCCCCTCCGACCCATGCAGACTGCATGGTCTTTCAAAAAAATTGGTAATCCACAGGAATTTTAATGATTTTTTGAAAAGTCTTTCTTAAAAGAAGTCTTTGGGTGTATTTGAACCACCACGTCTTCAGCTAATTGTTAAGCATTTTACCATGGACACTACCTTGAGATTCTTGGACCCTAGAAATGGTTTCCCATTTACTGGTTAGAGACACTATGAAAGATACTGAAATCGCAAGGCAGCATATCCTGATCTAGAACAGCTCCCACATTTCCCACTCTAAGGTATAATTATCAATGATACAATGTTGCAGCCAGATTATCCAAAGCAATTCACTCTAGGATAACCTCAAGCACAGTTTTATATATGCAGATACACAGCTATTAAAAAGGATGAAGGAAAAGCCACCACAAGAAAATGAGCAAAAATAGAAGTAGAATGCAAAAGCAAAAGAAATATTCAGAGCTATCATTGTTTGGAGGAGTAGAATTTTAAATTTTATTATTATTTTAGTTTACAATAACAAAAAATCATTTTACATTGACTTGCAACCTGAGATTAGGGCTATTTCCACAGAATAAACCCATCCCTTTGCCTCCTTCCAAAAGAGTCGGACTCACAGCCACAATCCACTGGCCCTCGGCATTCCTCCACACGAACAAGACACTTGGATTCATGTCCAGGACATCCATTTGTGAGCAGCACATCTCTAATACCCACACCTTTGGTAAAAGAAATCAGTAAACATTAAGAAAAACTAATTGCAGATATCTTTTCCATGTAATAAATTATTTAAGTCTTATTTCCCAATTTCAGAAATTTAATTCCTAAACTTACATTGATGACAGTAAGGATTTTTAAAGCTCCTCATTTATAATTGTTTCATGAAGAAGCTTTTCCCAAAACAAGGTATGCAAAACACTAGACTATCTGGCTTTTGCCAAAAGAAAAAAGTGAATATACGTACACATGTGTATTCTAAAATCACGTTCATTTTCTTGAAAATGAAAGACCATTTTTGGATAAGTCTTACAATGCTAGTAAATTAATGCACTGTGTTAAATTTTAATTGAGCTAAGATGCAACAGTTTTCATTTGCAACATCTGTGAAACTAAAATAAGAATTATATGAGCTATGCCATAGATTAAGTGGCAACACTTTTTCTTCATGTTGTTTTATGCCATCAAGTTGGAACTGACCCATAGCTGGCCCTCTAGAAGGTTTTCAGAGGTAGTAAATTGTGCAAGAAGAGATTGTCCATTCTTCTCCCACAGAGCAGCTGGTGGATTTTAATCACATGACTTTGGGGTTGCAACACTACTTCTTATCACTAGGCCACCAGACCTTGTTGCTGATTTAAAAAATAAAAAAAAGAACAAACAAAACACCAAAAACAAAAAAACCAACCCAAAACAAGCACCATCAAACAAAAATACTCAGCTTCTTCCTGTTGCTGTTGAGTTGTAATTGCTGAGCCTCCAGGCCTGGGGAATCACCTGCCTGCTGCTACCCCCATTGTCCATCTTTCTCCCTAGGAGCCCCTGGTAGATCTGAATCACCAAAGAGGTGTCCCTTCAGGTTAAGAGCACAGTTCCTTAGGGATCATGCTTCCAGGGCTGACTAATAGAACTAACAGAGTTTTCTATTTTATTAAATACATATAAGATAAATTAATATGTTTATAAGATTTTGCAGTTTGGGGAGGTGAGTGGAAAATGGTGCTTCTAATGAAATTCTGAAATCACATTTTACCAAATTTTTTTTTTCATTTAGACTGGCAAAATAAGACAATCTATTCATATGCAAACCACCACTTTTAATAAAACACTGTCTTCACAAATGCCATACTTTTGATAACAAGATATCAAATCTCTATCAACTGATCTAAGAGATCTAGTGAGCTTGCCTTTCATCATCAGAATTCAGAAATGATAAAATGCTGCACTGAAAGCAGTCTCCTGAAAAATTACGTGATCTCTGATCTTTGTCGTGATTTCCTTGACCATCAGACTTCCTCTGCATTTCTAACCAGGTGTTAATTAAAAACCCCTTCTCAGAGCAAGGAAAATTTGAAAGCTATATGTGGTTTACGTCAGAGGTTTTCAAACTTACAAGTGCATGTGAATTACATGGGAGATCTTACCAAAAGATGAATTCTAATGCAGTACATCTGGGGATTTAAAAAAAGTTATCTTGTCCATTTCAACTTAAAGTAGAACTGTCTCAAAGTAGAACTATGAGACAAAAAACTCAAAAAAGTTTTATATAGTTGATTTTCCCCCTCTACCTCTGAGTAGACTTGAACCACTACACTTTCAATAAAAAAGTGAGCGAGTTAATGGATTAGACAACCCAAGGGCTCTAGATCTGGACTAAGGACAGAAAGCCTGCATATCCAGTAAATTCGAAGACTGACGCTGTCTGTGGATCACACTTTGAGTAGCAAAGGAGCGAATTTGTATGAGAAAAAAGGTCTTATTAAAAGAGATGGCTGAGAGCTGCTTTCTGTTGTGTGAATCTACCACAATTTCTCAATCCATTCAGTTGTGGTTGGACATTTGGGCTGTTTCCATGTTCTTGTTATCATGAATAATGGTTGCTATCAACATTGGTGTTCAAATTTTGGTGACAAAAATATTTGTGTCTCAGTCCTAATTACAATGGGGTATATTCCTAGTAGTGGAATAGCTGGGTCATACATAGTTTTTATGTCCAGCTTTTTGAGGAAACACCGAATTGCCTTCCAGAGTGGTTGGACCATTTTGCGATTCCACCAACAGTGTTTGAATGTTCCCACATTCTCTCCAGCATTTACCAATTTTTTTAAAAAATTACGTTACTTTGAAGAGACTGGAGAGCATTATATTGAGTAAATGAACTCAGTCTTATAAGGACAAATACTACATAAGACCATTATTGTAAAAATACAAATGTTACTAGTAAAATGTATATGGAGGCCAAAGGGGGAATGGGGTGGGAGCAGAGGGGTAAGAATGGTGAGGGGAAATAACAGAGTCTCACAATTTGGTGTGTGGAGAGAGGGGGTAAAAGAAATGGGAATGATCCAACAGGGACCTGAAAAGATGGGGTATTGTTGTCATAGTCCAATGGTAGGTATCTTTATATAACATAGTGTATGGGAATGATTGTATGAAGATTTCAATAAAGGAAAGTGTTGAGGGACATTCTGCATAAAAAAAAAAGAAGGGAAAAAAAGATGACTTGGAATGGTTGCAATGTGTGTGACTCCACTCCACTTGAGTTTATAAAATGTTCCTGTCTCTAGAGAACACGTTTATTCTAAAATACATAAATATTTTCCAAGCAGGTATTTTATGTATTTGTTTATTTAGTCAAGTACAGTTCATTGTGATGATTTGTGTAGGTGTAAGATTTTCTGTGGGTCTAAGTAACACTTAAAAATATTCTGGGTGTTCTAAAAAACAGAAAACTTTCTAACTGATGAAATATTGTTTTGAGAGTTAAAGACACGGGATTTTCCCTAAAGCATTTTTCTCCTCCAAGTAAGTAGGTAATGTTTTAAATTTTTTTTTTATATTTTAGATATAAAATGTTGTCTTTAAGTGTTTTCTTTTTCTCTTTTGACATCACTAAATGCAATCATAAGTTATCAGCTGATCTATCACATTTTTATTATTATTTATATCTGTCCATCTCTATTAAGATACACATTCCTTGAAGGCAATGAGTAACATCTACTTAGTTCACTACTATGTTCACAACATCTAAAACAGTACCTGGCACATAGAGGTGATTCAAAGAACAAAACAAACAAAAAAATATTTCTCAAATGAGCATATATATTGTTTAAATACAAGTTCTTCAATATAATAATTACTTAAATATAATACTTTTTCAATATGATTATTTCTTCAAATAGTAATGATAGAACATCAATCAACAGAACTGTCATAAAAATAATCATTCTCAACCTCCTAAAGAGGGAGAGGAAGACCCTCAGCCAGTTGGATTGACACAGTGACTGCAGAAATGGACTGAAGAAGTATGTCAGAGATGCTGAGTACGGCACAGGATAGTACAGGACTTAGATCTGTTTTTCATAAAGTCACTATGAGTCGTACTCAACTTGACAGCGCCTGACGACAACAACCACCTCCTAAAAGTTTCTCCAATGAGCAGTCAAAGGCATAAATTATAAATCAATAATCAAAACTTATTATATGGCTTACTTTCAATTTTGTAACTTTAACTCCTTAAGAAGTTGAGATGAGAAGCCTGTCTAGCAGCAATGACCCTGCTGGTTTTACACTACAAGTGTTTTAACAATATAGATGCCATTATATTGCAGCAAACTGTCAGAAGTGTAGTGGCACTGAATTTAAGTTGTCATCAGACATAAGAAGCAGTCTGGTATCAGATTTATTAATATCTGAATATTGTTTCTAAGGATTGACAAAATATAGATATATTAAAAGACATAATAATGGGTACTAAACTGAAAAGAATGTCTGCCACACAATTAGCTGTAATTATCTATTATCAATGCATGGATCACAACATAAGCAAGGATTTCTCTGTGGACTATGGTATGGCTTCTCACTCAAGACAGAACACTTGGAACCTATTTGGCGTGGGCAGATAATGTGACCAATCCAGGCCTCTGTAAATAGTGTCTAGATTTTCCCCTTGTTGACATGTAGCAAATAAGTGAATCCCCTCAAAGTAATATAAGTATTTATTAAGAAAGAAAAAGAAAGTGAAAATATACTTTTTAACCATAAAAAAAATTCCTCCTGATACAGAGTCTACATGAATTTTTCTGTCTTGTTCCTCTCTGGTTATTATTTTCCTTTTCTTTCTATTTTTTCCATTTCTTCTATCAGTTACAAAATGTGTTAAAAGTAGTGTACTGACAGGAGGGCTGATTCTATTCTAGATTAACTTAGTTGGGAACCATCTATTTCCTTATCAGCTGGGTAGCCTATTGCAGTGGTTCCTTAAGAATTGTCTCCTAATCAGCAACATCAGTCTCACTTGGGAACATGCTAGAGATCAAACTCCTGGGCCCTTCCTTGGTCAAAGAAGTTGTAATTGAGCTGATTCCAACTCATGGCCATCTTCGACATATTGAAATAGAATTCCATTTATTATTCCATTCATCTTGTATGGACCCAACATCATGTGTATTACCAAGCTTCCAGGCTCTAAAATGCAACTGAAATTTGAAACTAATTAGTCTATTGCAGAGAGTTCTCATGGCCTAGTGTGAAGAAGCTGCACAACAATCCCAAAGGCATGTGGTTTGAATGTGTTTCACAGGAGAAGGACAATCTCTTCCTAGACAATTAACTGTCTTTGACAACCCTTTGTTAAAGTATACAATTAAAAACAACAATCTGTTATATAATATTCGAAATGTTGATCCTACTCCCATAAGAGAAATTCTTATGCCCAATCCTCAGAATATTCAAAATAAATAAAGACCTTTGAGTATCATCTTCTATACAAAGCCCTCTCTTTTCTCCATGACATGCTTTACAAACAGTAAAAAGATTAGATTTAGAATAGACTATTATAAATAAATTTCTTGATAGATTTGTCACGATAGTTATGTGGGAGGACATCTGTGAAATACACCAGAAAATCTTTCATCTTCAGAACATCTGTGAGATACTCTGGTGAAGGCAGTTCATGTGCCAAAAATAAACAAATATATAAATAAAGTAGATGGCTGAGGAGAAGATGTATTGGCTAAGAAGAGAAACTATCCTACCTTTTAAAAGTGAAACAACTTGAATTGTCCATACAATCTATCTTATTAAAACTAGAAATCAATGAAAGATGATGAGAGCACATGAGCTACTAGTAGAAATTTGACACACTTGTTTTTACTTTTCCTCTCTCCAAGATGACAATGTGGTTTCTTCACCTACCAACACTACTCACCACATGTAACGGTGCACATTCCATACTCGACTTCTTTGGTTATTGTCCCATTTGAAGCTAAACATAAAGTGCAAAGACATATTAGTTATGTGAAACTTTTCTAAATTAAAAATTCATGCTTGAGGATGAAAGATACAAAAACATCATATGAGCAACAAAAATATTTTAAGTTTCTGCATAAATCAGAAAAGAAGACTCTTTCTTAATACATAATCTAATAATTTTTTACCCAAAAGAGCTCCAGTCCTTTCAAGAAGTATATTAAATTAATAAATAATTTGTAAACAGAGTTTATATTTAAAGTCCTGGGAGTCGGACTCAATGGCAATGTGTTCAGTTTTGTTTTCTATAAAATTTAAGGCTATTTCCACTCCCGTTGATCAGTAAGGTGACCTTTTATAGGTCAGAAAAACTCAAACAAATCTAACAATTGTGAGGTCCAATTTTTTCTATTCCCGGTTTTCCAAAAAGAAATTGAATATACAATGTCCTTACCAAATAAGTCATTACTTTATGCCAACAACATGCATATATCTATTTCCATCGATTCAGAATCAACCCATCACTGACCTTCTGGAGAGTTTTCCAACACTGTAAATCACCTGAAAGGAGACTAATACACTGTCCTTTCTCAGAGCAGCTGGTGAAATCCAACTAAGAGAGGAGCCACCTGTGGTTAACTGCCTACAAACTAGGACACCAAAGCTCTCTTCGTGCTACTTGTTCAATAGAATGATAATTAAAGTTATTAATTAATTCCTTTTAGATTAATTAATTTTATGGATTAAGGTAGTATATTAAAATGTTGTAAAAATTTTATTTCAAGGTGAAACTTCTCAGGATAAACTAAGGATAGATGAATGGCTGAGAAGATTAAGAATTTGGATTTTAAACACATGTGCTTTGTATTGGTTTTTACTCCTAAATGGCAAATGGCCAGAATACCTGGGCAGTGAAAACAGTTAAGATTCTCACCATTGGGCCTATTGGCAGCATCATGATAGTTGGTGAAGAGATTGAGATTTTTGACAGCTTTAGTATGCTTGGCTCTACAATCAACACTCTTGGTACCAGCAGCCAGGAAATTAAAAAACGAATTGCATTGGAAAAGTCTGCTGTCAGAGATCTCTCCCAGATACTGAGGAGCAATGATGTCAGTCTGGAGACCAAGATGAACCTGATACAGGCCATGGTCTTCGTGATTTCTTGCTATGCATCAGAAAGCTGGACAATGACTAGGGATGATAGAAAGAGGAGAGTTGATGCCTTTGAGCTGTGTTGCTGGTGAAGAGTATTGAATATACCATGGACTGCTAGGAGAACAAACAAGTTCGGCCTGGAGAGGGTGAAGCCAGGCTTCTCTTTGGAGACAAAGATTCTGAAGCTTCATCTGACATACTTTGGACATGTTGCAAGGAGGGACCACTCCTTGGAGAGGGACATCATGCTTGGGAGGGTGGAGGGATGGCACAGGAGAGGAAGACCCTTGATGACATGGATTATTCTGTCACTGGGGTAATGGGGGTAAGCGTGTCAGAGACAATGAAGTTGGCAAGGGACAGTGCAGGGTTATGGGCTATTGTACACAGGGTCACAATGAGTCACAAGTGACTCAATGGCACATAACAATAACAACAGTACATATGAGGTTCCCCAGAGTCAGAAATGCTTCAACAGGAACTAACAATAAAAACCAACAATGGTATAGCCTATTCTTCATAACTCAGATTATAAGGAAAATGTCAATAGAAAAACATGGAAAATGTTTAAGAAGGAAGTTTATCGAAAGCAGTTTACCAGGGCTATGATGATCCCTTGGTTGTTAGTCGTCATAGATCCTGCCTCATGGTGACATTATATATACAAACTAGACCTGCTCTAGTGTTTTCAAGGTAGTGAATGACCTTTCACAAATAGATGTGCAAGCCTGCCCTTTAGGTATCTCTGGATGGGCTTGAACCACTAACTGTCTGACTAGTGGTCAGATACTTAATTGTTTGCTCTATACAGGGATTCTGATCATCATATTTACTCAGGGGCAAAGATACTCCCAAGAAAAAGTTTAGGAATTGGAGTTTACAGATAAGTCTCTGCCACAAATTAGATATTAAGTTTGAAGAAACTATGTAAATTCTCTATTGCTGTTATGAACAGTTTAAGTATAAGGAAAAGACATTAATTTTGCTTTAACACATATTATGAAATATCATAAATTTCTAGAATTTGCTAGAAAATTATGAACATTATATTATAAAATATGTTTATTGTGGAAAAATATTCTAATTAATTTGATGCTTAACTGTAGAAATAAGAATATTTGTGAATATACTAGCATGTCTAAATAGACCTGTTTGAGGCTGAGAGCCCCACTGACCACAGTAGTTGCAAACCCTTGATAAGGGAATACAACTGATAACTTGCTGTAAATCTATTGCTCTCAGCATGTGGGAATCCTGATAAGGGAATGTAACTTGTTACTGCCATGTTGCTAAGAGAATGTAACTAGTAAATTTAAGGATTAAGAAATATATTGGGAATCTGCTATATGTTAAAATAAGAAATATGTTAAGAACTTGCTATGTTATATGTTAGAAATAAAATAAGAAATATGTTAGGAATTTGCTGTTAGAAATTATGTTAAGAATATTTGTGAAAACATACTCTTAGTGGCTCTGGGGTCCCACTGACCACAACAGGTGCAGACCCTTGATAAGGAGATATGACTGGTTAGTGCCATGTTGCCAAGGAAACACAACTAGTATTGAACATTATTAGTTAAATTCATATTGTTATTCAACATGTTCCAGCATGCCCCACATGCCTCATCATAATGTAAAGTGGGAAAGCCAGAGTTTATCTACTGTGCCCAGAAAGAAACTCCCTCTCTGCACTTCACAATGAGCTGAACACTGAAGACCCAAAGGTTCTTAAAAGAGCCAAAGCCGATGAGGGAGAGAACAGTTCAAAAGTAAAATATTTTAGGGCATTACGATTATCATAAGAGTTTGGAATGAGGGTTGCAGAGTAGAGTATACTTGGTGTGGGGGTGGGGGGGGTGTGGGGGGATTGTATACCAATGAAGGAGTTTTTTCTTTTGCTTTTCAAGGAGAAGAGTGAACTGGGGGTGGGGTTGGGGTGGGCGGGGAGAAAAGTGCAGCAATGAATGAATGGAAATCCAAAATCTCTGTAAATGTTCATTGAAATTTTTTAAAAAAAGGAAAAAAAAAAAGAGCCAAAGACCTGAAGGCTCTTTTTCAGAGCTAAGAATCCTGGCCTACACTGATGGACATGAGCTACTGAGACAGTGGAGGATTCTGCCCACACCAACTGACCTGGCTACATCGAACTGCTGAACTAACGGAGAACACCTCGACTACACCAATGACCATGAGAGGCAAACGAAGGAGATGAGTTGGGATCCCGGGGTGAGTGAGTATTCTCCCCTGTTGCTTAATCAATAAGTTGTGATGAATTTATGGATTGCAATTTAGATAAACGGCAATTAACTGTTTAATGCTTATTATGAATTGATGAATCAATATGTTGTGATAAATTTATGAATTGCAATGTAGATTAATAGCAATGACTCTATAAATTGTAATTGGCCTTTGTAATATGTCCATGAGTAATTAATTAAGGCTCAAGGCTCATAACATATGGCTTAGGAGCTCTGGTGCCCTAGTGCTAAGAAGCAGTATTTACATCCCAAAGACATGTGGTTCAAATCTCCCAGCTGCTCTGAGGGAGAAGGAAGGGCAATCTCTTTCCAATGAGATTTCCTGCCTGAGTCAGTTCCAATTCAATAACACACAACAGTAACAATAGAGCCAGAGCCTCATTAGCCATTGTAAACTTTAGAAAGGTAATTTATCTGATTATTACAAGATAAGGTGTGTGAAAGCATTCTGTAAATTAGTTAGCACTATGAAAACTTCTGACTCAATGACACGTAACAACAAAAGGGAAAAAAAGCAATTCATTGCTATTATGTCATTCCAACTCATGGCAATCGACCATGATGGCTGTTAATCTAAAAGCTACCACTACAAACATTGTTTAAAAAGTAAACTGCTCCTCCTCTTTTTGTTCCTCTGCCATCGGGTTTCATGCTGCCCTGTTTACCTTCACTATATCTTCTCATAAGATTTTCAGGATTAAGAAGTTCTTGGACAAGAAACAAAAGCATCCTTCAGTGGATTTCAATGAAAACTGGCAATAAAATCAGTTACAACTCCGAGACATTAATGAAGAATCAAGATGGGTCTCCAAGGAGTCACACACATGATGGACCCAGGTTCTTTAGCATCACAATATGTCAAGGTGACCAACATGCTACCATATCAAGTTTGAAATTATATCACGATCTGATCACTTCCTACGGAACACGTGTGGGTTTTTTTTATGCACCCAATTTTTCAATAAATACATGAAAACTATGGTATAAGAAATAGTTAATTACTGTTGAGGAGATTCCAGCTCATTGCAGCTTCATATGTATATGAGCATCACAATGTTTTCAGGGAAAGCTATATGGACAATGAGGCTCCCATTTGATAATTTCTGTCCTAACTGCTGAGTGACATCAGCTCTGTGCCACAGAGCACAAACATTTTCTTTAGTTGTATTCTGGTTGTATTATTCCCAATATTCTGGTTTCCCTATTCCCTTCTCATCTTTTCTTTTTATAAAATACTCAAACTTTCGTAATTACATTTTGTTTTCTCCTTCAAGAGAGTACCATCCTCACAGATAATATTCTTTATTTTGCAGAACACCCTGGTATTTCAGTAAAACATAATATCATATGATAGTTTTAGTTTCAGTTTAAAATATACCTCACAGCAATAGCCTCAGGGAATGCTCTCTTGTCTCAGTTCCATAAGTGTGGACTTTTAAAGAATTGTTGTTTTTGCTGTTATGTGCTATCAAGTCACCTAATCCTATCCTAACCTGAGCCAATCTTTCTGTCTTTGACACACCTGTTTCTGTTGCCCCATTCACTGAGTCAATCCATCTCATCCAGGGTCTTCCTCTCCTGGACTCTTTCTCTACACTTC